GATTTAAATGCATATACTGTCTATATGCATAAAAAAGTCTCTGACGGATGGCATGCAATTAGACAGTATCGACTGTATATATAAAAATATAAAAAATATAATACAAATTTAAAAAACATAATAAAAATTTGAAAAATTAGCCAATCAAATTTCAGTATTTTGGCTTAAATTTGGCCACTTTTAAAAAAGGTGTTGGTTTAAGGGTTCCTGCACTGTAATTGTTTATTTTTTTATATATACCTCATTCTCCTCTTTACTTTTATTTTTTTATATAAGCCTCTATACTCATGTTTTTTTTTTTAGTTATAGTTTGTTTCTTCTTTTCGAGAAAATATTAAATTAGATATATACCTTATTGTAGAACGGTAGCCTAACATAATCTTCCGGGTTTGAATTTTAGGGATTTTTATATAGCCCGGTGCGGTAGGTCACTCATAGAAGCGAATGTTGAAATTCGGAACTTATATTTAATGCAAATTTTAGGCTTAATAAAGTGAAAGAAAAAAAAATTAAAAATGACAAAACGAAATTTTATATAATGTTAATGTTCTAACGCTAACTGCTAACGTAGCTTTAAATTTCTATTTTTACAAATAAATTAAATTTCTTTTTTTGGGTTGTATTACCAAGTAAATCTCTATGCAGCAGTGGCGTACGTAAATGGATCAATCAACCGTGACGTGAATGGATCAATCATTCAACCCATGACTAGGGTACTAGACCCGGGTGCAACGTACGTACTTGTCTTATTTCAATTTCTTTAATAACGAAACATAACACCCTCCGCAACAGTATTGTACGTTTTGACTGCACCGAGCTTTTTCCGTCCCAGTTTGTCCCATTAATTGCTTGAAAAATATCTTTTTAAACCTCAACTGTCCACATGTACGACTGTTCCGCAGTATACAATTCACCTTTATCAATTGAATAATCACACAAGCCAATTAAATGATTCGGAAATCGTATAGGGGTCCTAAGTAAAACTCCGGCATCTTTGAACATCTGACTAATCACGAGATACAGACGTATTATAAATAGCAAACACAACGTGCGTATATATTCGTAATATCAAGTCGCAATCGTTCAAAAACACAACTACTTTCTCAACATGCCAGAAGAAAAAATGGAGATTCGCCTAGACGCGGATGTATTTCATAAACGCGCGAGACATTTCCTCTCAATTTGGAAGGTATGTAAAAAAACAGCTCGAAAATTGCAAATTTAGATTTTACAATATAGAGTAAATATTCGGAGTAATTTCAAGAAATCGCGTAAACTTTTTTTACAATGATTCAAACTTCAACTTTTTTGTCCTATAACCTTATTTTGTGAAAACAAAAAACGCTTTTTTTAGTCGTCGTTAAATAAAGAGCCAAACGATGAGCTTTATCAAGCCTTTCAAGGTGTAAATTCAATTCTTGTTGTAGTGGGAGAAATTATGGAAGAATATCCATATCAAAAGTCTACCGCGATTCAGGTAGTTATAATATTTTCAAAATCGCAATTATGATCTAACGTTCAACAAATTATTAATACCTTATTTATCAAAAGCAATGGCTCTTGGGCTATGAATTTACAGATACTCTAATTCTTTTTACTCATGATAAAATTCATTTCATAGTTAAAGAAAAGAGAGGTATATTATATATCATTTATTTCTTCATCATTCACAAATCTTGAATTTATGATCATTTACGAGTAATTTTCTTATTAGCTGAAGTCTTTGAGCAGCTGAAACAAGGAGATCGACAAGTACCTATTGAAATTCATAAGCGAAGTAAAGATTCATCCCATAATCAGACACTTTTTGAACAAATTATTTCCAGGATTTCAGAGGGGGAACAGGTGCGAATAGGCGGCCGTATCAATACATAATTTAAATAAATAGCTTATATTATTATTATCAATAGAAACGCGTTGGATTATTATTGAAGGATAAGACGTCAGGAAATTTCGTCCAAGAATGGCAAAATGTTTATAAAAATTTTAAACAAGATTTTGAAGAAGCGGATATCGCTTCAGGAATAGCTTATGTCTTAGCTATAAAAGATGATGAAGAATTGGTGCGCTATTTTTATTTTTTGTAGAATGTTCGCTTGCCATTTATAATAATTAATTTTGTTTTAGAGAACAACACGCATGGCATGCAAAATAAGCACCGCGATGATGTATCTGTTCATTAATGTGGTGTCTTCCATTATTGACGAAGAAAAGGAGATAACGCATGAGCAATTATCTGAAGATGTAGAAAACATGTTATATACTAAAGACGAAAAGTGGCTTACAAGCCATAAGAGTCTTCAAGATGTGCGAATTATCTTATTCAAGGATTTTGTCGGTTTTTACGTTTATGTTGCATATTCTAACTTTAGCATCTTGCACGGTATTCAGGTTGATTTTAATCGAACAGATGTGTGTTATGCACCAATCATACAAAGTGGTGGTGTTTACGATTTTAAACCTTCTGCCCAATCTAATAATAATAAGTTGCATGATGGAACGATTCTTTGTTCCCTGGGTGTTCGATACAAATCGTACTGTTCGAATATTGGCAGGACCATTTTAATAGATCCAACAAAAGTAGGTCATACATTCTAATTCGATTAAATTTTTGTTGCATAGAATTTAATATTCGTTGTCATTAGGAACAAGAAAAAAATTATGAGTTTCTTTTGGATGTACAACGACGCACGTTGGAATTACTGAAAGACGGTCAAAAGATCGGAGATATATACACAAGAGTAATGAATTATGTTAAGAACAAACGTTCTGATCTCGCTGATAAGTTTGTCAAAAGCCTTGGCCACGGAGTATGTATCGATTTAAAATAGTAATAATATTGATTAAATTAAGCAATAGGCAATTATAATTTTCTTTTTAGATGGGAATCGAGTTCCGAGAGTCTGCTTATAATTTGAATCAAAAGAATACCAAAGAACTCAAGGCCGGCATGGTATTAAATTTGTTTATTGGATTTATAGATCTTGAAAATCCAAAAGCCACAGACGAGAAGAGTAAGATGTAAGATATTAACATACATATTTGCATGTATTTTTTTATTTTTATTTTTTTAATAATGCACCTAGTAAAAACTGTTCACATATTTTATAGTTATTCGTTATGGATAATAGACACTGCTAGAGTCAGCAATAATTCTGCTCAGTTGCTAACAGAAGGCAACAGGACACTAGACAACATTTGCTTTTCACTTAAAGTATGGATTTCATTTCACAAACAGTAAAATATTTTCTCAGCTTGATTGATTACACTCAAATTAATTAATGATAAGGATGAAAACGAAAGTGACCATGAAACAAAGAAAGGAAATAAACGACCCACAAAGACCATAGAGACCAAAAGAAGTGGTACTCGGAAGAGTGCAGTGCTGAGAACCAAATTCCGAAGCGAAGAAAAGGTATTACATGATATAAAATGCTTGATGATAATATATAAAACATACTTATTAAGGCTTCGTATTTAATAAACAAGGATGATGAGTCACAAGATCAGAGGCGCAAGAAACATCAAGAAGAATTGGCAGCTCGGAAACAAGCTGATGGGCTCGCCAGGTTCAGTGAAAAATCTAATGAAAAGGCCAGTCAGCATAAAGCTGTTTTTAGATCATTTGAAAGTTATAAAAGAGACACTGCACTTCCAAAAGAAGTCAAGGATTTGAAGGTATGAATTATTATGGGATCTTTTTTCTTCTATATGGCTGATACAAACTTTCTTTTTATTTGTAGATTATTGTAGATACAAAGAGCGAATCAATTATTTTACCGGTTTTCGGATTTGCAGTCCCTTTTCATATATCTACATTGAAAAATGTGAACAAGTCGGAAGAAGGAGAATATGTTTATCTACGTTTAAATTTTTTGACTCCGGGTCAAGCTACAGGAAAAAAGGAAGATAATGTTGGTACTTTATAAATTATTATATTGTATAGAATCGAAATTATCGACTGTTTGTACTTATTTATTCACCATTATTAGCCTTTCGATGACCCAAGTGCAACTTTTGTTAGGGCTTTCACATATCGTAGTACAGATCAATTATTATCTGAAATTTATAAAAAAATTATTGATCTCAAAAAAGCTGCTGCTAAAAGGTGACTTTATTTTTTAAATAAGCTAATATAGTTAATATATTCTTGATTTTAACTTATGATTATTTGTTTACAGAGAGACCGAAAGGAAGGAGATGGCAGATTTGATAGCTCAAGATAAGCTGATTGAAATAAAAGGTAATTGTACGATTGCTTTTATATATAGTGATAATGTAAGTAAATATACGATAAATTTTCTTAAATAGGTCGAAGACCCACACAGCGTTTATCAGACGTGTTTGTACGGCCGGGCCTAGAGGGCAAGCGTGTTCCTGGTGAACTCGAGATTCATGAGAACGGGTTGAGGTATCATTCACATCGTACCACTCAAAAATTAGGTAAATGTTATTTTCTATAATCTAATGAATTGCAAGAATGAACGTTTCTCATTAATATTCCGTAATAGATATTCTTTTTAGCAATATTCAACATTTGTTCTTCCAGCCTTGTGACAATGAGCTTATTGTATTATTGCATATACACCTTAATAATCCTGTCATTCATGGCAAGAAAAAAACAAAGGTTGGTATATGTAATATCCACATAACTTTACATAGTCACTAATTTTTTTAAAAAATCTGAACAGGATATACAATTTTACCGTGAAGCATCAGATGTACAGTTTGATGAAACAGGTAATCGAAAGAGGAAATATCGCTACGGTGATGAAGATGAGCTTGGGGCTGAACAGGAAGAACGACGCAGAAGAGCACTTCTGAACAAAGAATTCAAACAATTTGCCGAAAAGGTTTCCGAAGCGGTAAGAATGTGCTCATTGAAATTGACAACTTTTACTGCAACAAATTTTACCAATTTTTTTTTCTTTAGAGCGAAGGACGAGTTGATGTTGATATTCCATTCCGTGAAATTGGTTTTCAGGGTGTTCCTTTCAGAACAAATGTCTTGTTACAACCCACAACAGAGTGTCTTGTTCATCTTACGGATCCACCATTTTTGGTCGTCCCACTAGCCGACATCGAAATCGCACATCTGGAACGCGTTCAGGTTGTTAATACTAATATATGAAATGGTCAAATTAGGGAATTAATGTAACGGTTCGTTCTAATAGCATACATTTATACTTTATAGTTTGGATTAAAAAATTTCGATCTTGTGTTTATTTTTAAAGATTATACTCGTCCTCCTGTTCATATCAACACCATTCCAATGAACCAATTAGAAAACGTTAAAGATTGGTTAGAGTGCGTATATTCTTAAATATTTTATGTTGATTTAGGGTAGATTGCTAACATTAGCAATCATTGCTAGCTCTGTAGATGTAAACTTTCATGAAGGTACCCAAAACTTAAATTGGGCTCAAATAATGAAAACAATCAATTCCGATCCAGCAGATTTTTTTGAACAAGGAGGATGGTCATTTTTAAAATTACACAGTGAGGTAATTAAAAAAAAAAAAAAAAAGAATCCATTAGATATTATGGTTCAGAAAACTAATTCGTAATTTTATAGAATGAAGATTCTGCTGCATCTTCGGATTCTGCAAGTGAATACATGCAAAGTGAAGAATCTTACGAAGAAAGTTCTGTAAGTATCATGTAATTCAACCCTTTTTTATAATGATTTATTCAGAATTAATAACATGAAATTTCAGAGTGACGGTAGTAGTTTTGATGAAGAAGCATCCGATGTTAATGGTTCAGAATCTGAGGAAGAAAGTGACGAATCAGCCCCAGATTGGGATGAACATGAAGAAAAGGCCCGCAGAGGTATGTGTACTAGTTATCACCCATTATTTATGGTTTGTTGTATTTATAATATATATTTTTAATTGAAGCTGACGAACGCAAACACGGAACAAAACGTGGGGACGACTCTGATGACGACCGCGGAAAGAATAAAAAGTATCGTCGTTAACAATCTTTATATCAGGGGTGGTAAAGCTAGTTTAGGTTTGGTTTAAGTACCGAATTTTAAAATTAGTTTTCAATATTTTGTAAGACATAAGTAAAAATATATTAATAAAAAATTAATTCGTATCAAGCTTTTAAAAAATATATTTGTTCTTCAGAATAACTTTACTTATTATTGCTAATATTGATTTGTTTAATAAAATTTTACGTAAAAAGGAAAGAGAATATACCGGGTGTTTGATAAGTCCCTGGACAGGACCTTTTTATTGATCACTTTAATTATCAAAACTATTACGTTTTTTATTAGTAAAAAGGTCCTATCTAAAAACTTTTTTTAAGTAAATAACAAAAAGGTCCTGTCCAGGGACTTATCAAACACCCGGTATATGCAACCGAACTAGGGAACCTGGCATGGTGACTACTGGCATGCCACCCTTGGCCTCAAAAAATTAGGGTGGCATGTCACTTTATATATATTAATTATATTTTTATTAAATACTTTTATTAAATAAAGATGAGCTTAATATATTAGCATATTACTATACAGTATAGACTATAGTACCTTTATATCAAAGTATTTTTTATAAAAACTTTTGTAGTTGAATACAAAATATCTGAGTTTTTTATAGAGTAAAATACAGTACTTGGATATTAACTATATAATATATGGATTGAGTCAATAGAAACCAAGCAAATTTTTTTTGATGCTTTTTTTAAAAATTTTAAACAAAAATAACTTCACAAAAAAACTTAACCAAATTTGATAAAATTAATTATACAAGTTAGTAAAAATTATTTAAAAAAATTTTGATTAAATTTGGATAAGTTTCTGTAAAGTTATTCTTGTTTAAAGTTATTAAAAATCTTTATTATAAAAAATTTGCTTAATTTCTATTGATTCACCTCCATATATTATTCTATATAAAATATACTTCTTGTATAGTACCCAAGTATTAACTTAGAATTTAGCTACAGAATATATCATATTTGAAATACTATAGTTTATGCTATACAGTATTTTTTTTAACTTTTTTTTTTTTTTTTAATGTTAAGGTGATCACTTTGGGGTCTGGCACATTTTATTAAACTTTGGATCGAATGCCAGGGCAGCCAC